GACGTAAGTGGCTATGTCAAGACTGACAGCTATTATTCAGACACAGAACATAATTGGAATAAATAGCTTTGCTGTTAGATGTATAAACTATTGCTAAATGAACAAGAAATACCAAATAGGGCAACGATATAAGATCTCAACAAAGTCTTAATTTTTAATGTATTTAAATCTGTTAAATTTTATTCTCTCTCCAGCTCTTTGTTTCAGAACTATGTACATAGCTTATATTGACACATATTTTATTTTTGTTTTCCACACCAATACTTCTTTTAGCCCAAATAGTGTGTCCTCATATACAACCGTCTATACCTCTTTAGTTCAGAGACATGTGGTTTTTAGGAACTTGGCCCATCCAGTTAAGAAATGTTAGCATCTTGATCAGTTGGAATACAGGCAGTTAATATTTCTTTATATGCAGTAGTTACAAGGTGACCTTTTAGGAGCATTATATTTCTCTTAAAGTCTATTTTTTCTTTTTATGTCTTATTCTTATACGATTCTTATAAGATTGTAATGCAAGATGCTCTTAGTGAACTAATCATGGAAATGGTCATGGACTGAGGTAGGATTCAGGTACTTTATGCACATGATCTATTTAACCTAAAGAAACCATCTGAAGTCTTTATTTCATAGATAAAGACGTTGAAGCAGTGAGGAATTGCATAACCAGTTAGAGATAAAACTTGAACCCTCATCTGTCTGACTCAGAAACTTAAGTGCTGCTTCTGTTGCCTCACTTTTGAGTAGGATCAGGACATTGGGTAAGGTTCTTGAACTGCTTGTATTTCACTTCAGGTGAAAAGTTATGGTGTTCTCTAAACTCTCTAAAACTAGAGTTTGTGATTATCTAAAAATTGAACCTTATTGTTCCATATATTTACTTTAAAATAAAACATAATCACTGGACTCTTTTTTTCTTTCCAAACAGTTTTGCTCACATCTTACTGGTAGTAGGCAACCTATGCTTTTTAAAAAATAACAGTGGAAAAAAAGACAATAATGGGAAGAATGAGTGAAGATTTACAGTGAAGTATTAAGAGGACAGAGAGAATATACAAGCAATTTTCCAAAGAACTTTTTTTCGGTTTCTTTTTATGACTTCCCTCTCCAGGCTATTTCTAGATTGCTCTCTTATTTGTTGTGTTTCACTGGTCTATTAATACAGACCTCTCATTGTGGGGTCCCAATTGGGCTTTTCCAAAAATGCCTGTTGAAAATTTCCCTTCATACCCTTTTCTCTCTCTCCAATGGTTTCACTATCATTTGTTTCATGGTATGTTTATGGACGAAAACAGTTTGAAGAAACTAATTCTTTAAAGTATGGGTGAGTCAGATGCTACTTTTTGAATTTAAAATCTATATTTGTTATTTCTTTTTAAAAAGTAGATTAGTTGTTAACCAAATGGACTTCTTAGAAGAATTGCAGGTGGTAAGATCAATGAAAAGCTAGGAAAAGGTTTTAATGAAAGAGTTTATAATAATACAAAGATTTCTAGTGAATCAAAAACCTGTTAAGTCTATTTATTAATTTAGTGATCCTTAAACTCACTATTTTCCAACATAAGGGTGTGTTGAGTTCAGTTTTGTTCTGTGTGCTGTCAGGTAAGCGTGCCATAAAAATCAGTTCTAGCTTTTAAAGCTATCTGTGTTGAATTTTTAGTTTGTGTGTGGATAATGATAACGGGTGGGTGTGTATAGGTATATGTGTAAGAGTATCATGTGAGTGAAAGAGACTTAAAAGTTTATTATTTTTTTACATTTAAAGTTGACCTGAAAGAATGCATTCAAGCATCTGTAAGGGGAACTAGATGACTCCACTTTTCCTTTATTCTTGAAAGTCTGAGTCTTTAACCCTATTGAAATTCAAGGTATTAAGCTTTGAAGGATATAGAGTGTATAGCAGTTCAGTCAGAGATAGGGAAGCTAATGAAGGTCTAGTTTTGACAAGGCTATTATATTGGAGGGAGTACAGAAAAAATGAACAAGAGATTGGGATTAAAGTAGAGATTAGGCAGGGTAATCTATTGCAGGAGAAAATATCTCTAGGATTAAATAAGTTAGACCAATGAAGTTCTTTATCAAAGGCTTGAAATGGGGGTTATAAATATTAGAAGAGAAGACACTGGTGAATTATGAGGGTGGACTATAAAAGTTCATTATATTAATTTCTTTAGATTGGTTGCAGGAAGGAATGCCAGTGATGAATTTTGAAAAGTAGTAGACTTCAGGGTTTTATGAAGAGTCTTAAAGTGTTTGAAGGGGGCTGTCAGATGGATCTTCTATTTCTTTTTTAATGTCCGATCCGGTAGTTTTCTAAGTACAGGTCTTTTACCTCCTTGGTTAAGTTTATTACTAGGTATCTTTTTGTTGTTGTAATGGTAAATGGGATTTTTGTTTGTTTGTTTTTAGTTTCTATTTCGGAGAGTTCATTATTAGTGTATAAAAATGCCATCAATTTCTGGATGTTAATTTTGCACTCTGCTACTTTTCTGAGTTCATTTATTAAATCTAGAAGTTTTTTGGTGGAGGCTTTCGGGTTTTCTACGTATAGTACCATGTTATCTGCAAATAATGACAGTTTTATTTCCTCCTTTCCAATTTGGATGTCTTTTAGTTTTTTCTTCTTATACTGCACACAAGAATAAACTCAAAATGGATTAAAGACTTAAATGTTAGGCTCAAAATCATAAAAATCCTAAAAGAAAACATAGTAAAATCTGGGACATTTCTTGTAGCAATATTTTTTCTGATATATTTCTTGAGGCAAGGGAAACAAAAGAAAAAACACATGGACCCTCGCCGGTTTGGCTCAGTGGATAGAGCATCAGCCTGTGGACCTAAGGGCCTCGGGTTCGATTTTTGTCAAGGGGCACGTGCCCTGGTTGCAGGCTCCTTCCCAGCCCTGGTCGGGGCTGATGCAGGAGGCAACCAATTGATGTGTTTCTCTCACATCAATATTTCTCTGTTTTTCCCTCTCTCTCCCACTCTCTAAAAAATCAATGGAAAAATATCTTGGGGTGAGGATTAAAAAAAGAAAAAATAAACAAATGGGACTACATCAAACTAAAGAGTTTTTAGCATAGCAAAGGAAACCATTAACAAAATGAAAAGACAACCCACTGAATGGGAGAACATATTCACCAATGATACATCTGAGAAGGGGTTAATATCCAAAATTTATAAAGAACTTATAAAACTCAACACCAAAAACAATAAACAACTCAATTAAAAAATGGGCAAAAGACCTGATTAGATAGTTCTCCAAAGAGGACATACTGATGGCCAATAGACATATGAAAAGATGCTCAACGTCAATAATCATCAGAGAAATGCAAATTAAAACCACAATCAGCTATCACCTCACACCTGTCAGAATGGGTATCAATAAGTCAACATACAAGAAGTGTTGGTGAGGATGTGGAGAAAAGGGAATCCTTGTGCACTGTTGGTGGGAATGCAGATTGGTGCAGCCACTGTGGAAAACAGTATGGAGTTACCTTAAAAAATTAAAAATGGGCCCGGCCAGGTGTGGCTCAGTGGTTGAGCGGCAACCTATGAACCACAGGAGGTTACAGTTCAATTCCCGGTGAGGACACATGCCCAGATTGCCAGCTCCATCCCCAGGGTGTGTGTGGGGGGGTGGGGGGGGTGGGGGAGGTTCAGGAGGTAGCCAATCAATTATTCTCTCTCATCATTGATATTTCTATCTCTCCCTCTTCCTTCTCTGAAGTCAATAAAAATATAAATAAATAAATAAATAAAGGAACTGCCTTAAGACCCAGCAATGCCACTTGGGGGAATTTATGCAAAGAAACCCCAAACACTTAATTTGAAAGAATTTATGTACTCCTATTTTCATTGAAGTGTTATTTACAATAGCCAAGATTTGGAAACAGCCCAAGTATCCATTAATAGATAAGTGGATGACAAAGCTGGGTACATTTACACAATGGAATACTACTCTGTTGAAAAAAGAAAAAAAAAATTACCCTTTTGACAGCATGGATGGACCCGGAGAACATTATGCTAAGTGAAATAAGCCAGTCAGAGAAAGACAAGTACCATATGATTTCACTCATATGTAGAATTTAATTAACACACTGAACTACCAAGCAAAATAGAAACAGACTCATAGAGAGCAAGCAGACAACTCTGGTGGTGGTGGAGGGACAGCAAAATAGAAAGAAAAAGAGAACTCATGGACATGGACACAAGTGGTGATTGCAAAGGGCGGGGGTATAGGTGGAGATGGAAGGGAGCATAGAGGGGATAAATGGTGATGGAAAAATAAATAAAAATAAATTTCAGAAAGAAAAAGAAATAAACATTTCTCAGACATACCTATAAAAAAAAAGAAGAGAAATATTCCAAAGCCTACTTTTAAGTGATCTCATAATAGCTCCAAATACAAGAGATCAGCACAATATATACATATATGGAATCATGTTGTACAGCTGAAACTATTTGTCAATTATATTGGGAAAAAATACAGGAGACCATGGAAATGTGTTTGTTTCACAACTCAGATTTAGTCTGGTGCAGCAGTTGGCAAGGAGATTAATATTTTTCATTTGAATCTGTGTGTGTTCTTCTCCCCTATATTTTACTTTTGGACAGTTATGGTAGTTTGTGCTAAATGAAATAGTGTCTTTTAGAAAGAATTCAGCTTTAGTGAGTTATAATTGACAAAACTTTAAGTGAAATAGAATCTTTACACATTATTTGTGATACTTTCATGAGATAAGTTTTTCTTGGCTTAAATGCTAGATACTAATGAGGATTAAGAAACGTAAGGAATTATTTTTTGTTTAGATAATATAAGAATGAGCCTCTACATCCATTTTCTCTGTTCTAGCCTCTCAGTAGATTGATGGACTTTTTATAGTTTTATAAAATGTGTTTATGTTAAATGAGTGTTGATCAGGTAATTTTATCTTAAGTCTGTGTTACATTGGATATTCAGAGATAGACACTAACTAATCATTGTGTGTTTTTTGCAGTGGGACTTCCCCTCTTGCATGCCTGAACGCAATGCTGCACACAAACTCCCGAGGTGAAGAGGGCATCTTCTATAAGGTTCCAGGCAGAATGGGAGTATATACTTTGAAGGTAAATATTTTTGGAGTCATTTAAAAAGTAAATCATGAAGTGACTACATATAAATATTTGCATCATAGAGGACAGAATTCTGTTTTTGAAGAGGTAATATTTTTGGCCCTGTATTCAAAATATTTTCTTTTTAGTAATCTGTAACCATCTAGGTAGATCAGAGAAGAGAAATCAATTTATTTTTTATTGTTTATGATAATATTATCTTGGAAGGATGAAATGAAAATGTCTTTCAGAAACTTTTTCAAGGGCCTCACATTTGAATAATGAGTGATACAGCCTTGATGCTTTGTAGTACCTTCTCATTTAATTCTCCATTACAATTTAGAGTTATGGTTATTATTATAATGGAGAAAGCCAAAGTTCAAAAAATGGGATTTTCTTGTGGGCCAAATACCATCAGAATCAGAACCCAGATCTGACTGAATTTCCAAGCCCATGTTCTTTTTACCATAGCGGGCTTAGTAATTTTTAATTCTTACACTTGAGAAGGGACCTTGACCTATCGTTGTCCTTTTCTGAATGAGCTTGAGTAAAAGAGAATTTATTAGTTTAGATAACTGAAAAGTTTAGATAACTGAAAATTCTAGGGAAACTCAGCCTTGATTCAGGAGCTCAAATGATATCAGGGATTGGTAACAATAGATAACAGGGATGTTATCAGGTCTCTCCACTTTATTTTGGCTTCGCTCTCAGCAGGCACTTTGCTCTTTGTACATGACTCCACTCTGCAGGCTGTAAGTCTGGAAAGGAAAGAGTCTCAGGAACTAAAGCAGGAGACTTCAGTTAGTTTTGATTTGGCTTAATTATTTAATTAGTTTGGCTTGGCTCATGTGTGTATACCTCTTACCTCTTAAACTTTATGCTATAATCATAGTATGCTCAGTGGTTGTACATCGCCCATTAACATTAAAAAGATCTAATTTATCTATAATACTTCCTTTTTATGCACTTTGTTAACTTCCTGGGATTATAGGGCTATAGTACCATATGGAGTTGTTTGCATTTCTTTTAGGTTTTAGCGTTCTAGACTTTCCGTATTGTTAATAACGTACTCCATGCTGGACATTGTAGAGGCAATCAAGAAGGATAAACGGTGATCCCTGAGCTCTTGATGTTCACATAGTTATTGAAATAATTGTACATTGACAACATTTAACTGTGACATAAAGTATACTATACTATAAAGTATTGTGATGATATAGAGAAAGATTAATTTTGAATAAAGGAATCTAGAAAGTTTTTGTGTGTTGGTTTGTTTAGTTTTTTAAACTTGTAAGATTTGAGTTGAACTTTGGCAGATAAGTAATGTAAAGAGGGCCTTCCAGGACAAGGGAATAGCTTAAGCAAAGGCACAGCTAGAAGGATTCAGAATGGATTTGAAAGTAGAGTAAATTGGAGTGGTTAGGCCATATCTGTGTGTGGACTAGTGATAGGAGTCAGGGGTCGGGTAAATGTTAGGTAATGATCAGACTTTGGAGGCTCTTGAAAACCTGAGGGGGGTGGGGAAGAGGTGAGTATGTGTGTTAAGAAGGTGGCAGTTTTTTTCAGGACAATAGCATGGTCAAATCCATATTTAGGAAGATAATTAGATAGGGTATGTTTAAGGGTAAAGCAGGAAAATGTGTAAAAAATATGTTATTGTTGTTTGAAAGAAATAATTGGCCTGAAATACAAGAGTAGTAAAAGAGATGGAGGCAAAGAAGTTAGTTATATTTGTATTCAAAATACTTGCTGAACCTGTAGGTCAAAAAGTATGGCTGACAACTGTAAAATTTGTCCTGCATTTTGAAGGAAAGAATAGAAAAATACGGGGTGTGTATTCTAACGAAGTGTACAACCTGAGAAATGGCACTAGGATATAAACGTAAGTGGAAAAGAGCAGTTCTTTACTAGATCAGAGTTTTCGAGTGTCAGTTGTAGGTAGGTGGGTTACATGTCAGAATTATTTTTATCTGATTAGAAAAATAATATGGGAAAATAAAAAATATATTGAGAGGAAAAGAACCATCTGTATGTAATTTTATAACTTAGAAATAACATTAGTTATTTATATGTGTATATTTTTATGTACCACATAAATTCATAAAAGCTGATATTTACTGAGCTCTTATCATATGCCAGGCACAATTTTTCATTTATTAACTCATTTAATTTCAGAGTGATCTTTTAAGGAAGGTACTGTTATTCCTATCTTATAGACAGGGAAACTGAAGCATGAGAGGTTAAGATTTTGATGAAGGGATACACAGTTAGGAGAAGATAAAGCCAGAATTCAAACCCAGAAAGTCTTAAGTTCCTAGTTGTTGATCTTACAACTGTCCTCTTTTATCTCTCACATACTGTGCTGACATAGGTATCCTTTCTGACTAACATTCCACAATCCAGTGTAGAAACCAAAGATTCATGTGATTTAAAAAAAAATAAAGATTTCTTTTGTATTTGATTCTTGATGGTTACTAACCAATATTTGGGAAAAAATTGGATTCAAATAATGGACTATCTTTTGCTACCCAGACTCTTGATTGAATTCACAATACATAATGGTACTAATATATACACAAATATACATATATGTATATGTATATATATATATATGTAATATATATATGTATTATATATTACATGGATGATGCATGCACACATGCTTTATAAAATTTTTATTATATAGGGTTTTTTTTGTTTTTTTTTAAATATATTTTTATTGATTTTTCACAGAGAGGAAGGGAGAGAGATAGAGAGTTAGAAACATCGATGAGAGAGAAACATCGATCAGCTGCCTCCTGCACATCTCCTACCGGGGATGTGCCCGCAACTCAGGTACATGCCCTTGACCGGAATCGAACCCGGGACCTCTCAGTCCTCAGGCCGACGCTCTATCCACTGAGCCAAACCGGTTTCGGCAATTATATAGGGTTTTTTAATCCTCAACTTATATTTATCTGATATATATATATATATATATATACACACACACACACACACACACACACACACACACACACACACACACACACATACACGAAGTTCTTGTCTAATTTAAGTCTCTGTGTTGTGCCTACATATGATTGGCATGTAAAATTTTTACCTTTTGATATAGATTGAAACATTTAGCTACTTTGATCCAAAAAAGAGAGGACTGGGATTCAGAAAATATTATTGGTTCTGCTGTTGAATCCTTTAATACAAAAAAATTAATCTACCCAGTTGAGTTGCAACAATGGGTATCAAAGACTTAATGTAACTTCTGTTTGCTGAATTGGTAATGATTAATCCTAATTGGATGCTTACATTTTCAGAAAGATGTGCCGGATGGGGTGAAAGAGCTATCGGAAGGTTCAGAAGAAAGCAGTGATGGTCAGTCAGATTCCCAGAGTTCTGAGAACAGCAGCAGCAGCAGTGATGGCAGCAACAAGGAGGGGAAAAAGAACAGGTGGAAAAGGAAAGGTAAATGCACCTGATGCATTAAAAAGTACTGTCGGATAAATGCCTTGTTAGTAGTTCCTCTTTTTTCAGAACCTCAATCTGTTAGTCTCCTTCCCTTACCCTTTAGATCAGTACTGTCCAATAGAATTTCCTTCTGTCATGGAAGTGTTCTGTATCTATGCTATCCAACGCAACAAAATAGCCACTAGCTACATGTGTCTATTGAGCACTTGAAATATGGCAAGTGTGACCAAGGAACTGAATTTTAAATTTTATTTTAACTTAAATTTCAATAGCCACTTATGGCTAGTGGCTACCACATTGGACACTACGGCTCTAGCTTTTACCTGGGTTTATTTTCAGCTCTTGGCCATCTATAGCCTGTTTTCGGATACTCTGATTTTATTTACCCCATTAATCTTCTCTTCTAAAATTTGAACACTTATTACTCTAACAACTCTCTCCTTACTAGGAAAAGAATGCTTTTCATTTCTATTAGCAAAGACTAAATTTAGTGTGCTAGCCTTTGCTCTCATCCCCTGCTTGATGTCTGCTTCATAGTTTACCCAAAAACTTTCTTTAAGGAACAGTGTCTTGTGCTACAGCTTCCCTGACATGAATTTTCCATTTAAGGGTACATATTATTACCTATTCTTGCTAATTATCTGTAGCTTCTTGTCAGAGTCTTGAAGAGGGCAAATTGTTTTTGTACCAAAATATTAATAAATTTAGCTATACATGGTAAGGCAGATTTTAAACAAACCATGGTGATTCCTTTTTAAGGACTGATACAAGGCTTTTTTTACTCTGGACTGATTTTACATAGCAAAATAGACATCTAATAGTTTTCCTCTTAGGTTTAAGTTTTAGGTGAGCTGTCTTTGGATCTAGAAACTAAGAGTTTGTTTTTTTGAAATACTTGACTCATTAATTTCAAGTTCCTTTAGAAGTATTGATGTAGAACTGTATCAGAAAAAGTCTTATTTATCCTCATCTCAGTTAATGTGTATGCTACTCCTGGAGAGAATTGAGATAATTGGTGGAATCATGTGCGTTCTCTGGTATGGTTACCACACATGCAATTGGGGAAAATTTGGAATTGTGAGGATTTTAGCTTTTAAGATCACAACCACTTGAACAACAACCCAGACCTCAAATTTTGGGAATGAGTGGAATAAAGGCGAGACAAAGCCAGGACCTGTTACTAATATTCTGATACGTATTTTTAAAGCAATCCCTGTCAATAGTGAAAGGAGGTATAGTCCAGGCCTATATTCCTTATGCACTAAGGACCTTTTTTGGAAGGGTAGAGCTGAATGTATTAAAAGTTCTGTCCCTCCTCTGTGCCTCCCCAGTTTCAACTTTTTAAGTTTAGAAATTGTTGATATAAGATTAGGAAACAAGCAAAGTCATCAGGCTAGAGCAGTGGTCGGCAAACTCATTAGTCAACAGAGCCAAATATCAACAGTACAACGATTGAAATTTCTTTTGAGAGCCAAATTTTTTAAACTTAAACTATATAGGTAGGTACATTCAACTTTAAATTCAACTTTTAAATTCATGGTTTTCGTCTTCCGTTTTTCTTTGCTTCTTCTTTGTAGCCATCTCAAACAGGGCACCTAAAAAAATGTTTCATTTTATAATAGTAAAGCCACCAACACAAAAGAATTACAATTCTTAAATTGATGACAAAAATACCTGTAGGATTTGCAGCTGGTTGGAAAAATACAGGTAACTTTATGCTTCGAGTAGGTACTTTTGTCACCCGCGCGCGATTTGCGGACCCGACTAGCACTAACCACTGCACAATGAGACTGCTGACTGACTGGCTCACTCAACTCTGCATGAATCGCGCATGCCTCCCCGGCTGCGTCTCCCGTTGCCCGACCGACCGACTGACACCCCCCACTTCTTCTAACGCCATTTCTTCAAAATAGACTCGCCCAGGCTGAAAACCAACTTCTGCGCATGGGCCACGAAGTTTCAATCTCACTGTACGTGCGCGCATGTGGTATTTTTGTGGAAGAGCCACACTCAAGGGGCCAAAGAGCCGCATGTGGCTCTAGTCACTGGGCTAGAGAAACAGTTAGCAAGATTCATAATGTCTAGATGTGGCTGGAAACAGGGAAAGCAGTATTAAAGAAGGCCAGACTGCCCTGACTGGTTTGGCTCAGTGGATAGAGCATCGGCCTGCAGACTGAAGGGTCCCAGGTTCGATTCCGGTCAAGGGCATGTACCTTGGTTGCAGGCACATCCCCAGTGGGAGGTGTGCAGGGGGCAGCTAATCGATGTTTCTCTCTCATCGATGTTTCTAACTCTCTATCCCTCTCCCTTCCTCTGTGAAAAATCAGTAAAATATATTTTTTAAAAAAAGGTCAGACTAATAAACTGGAAACAAAATCATGGTCTTGGAAGTCTTGACTTTTCATTAGCCACATATGCTACAGTACCTGTTTTAAGTAGTGGCTGTACAATGTTGTTAAAAGTTGTCTCTAAGAATTTAAGGTAAATGTATTATGATACAGGAAGATCTAAGAAATAACAAAAGAACCCCATTGTCAGTAGCTTATGAGGTAGATTAAAATAGCATAACCTTGCCCAATACTCAGCATCTATAATAATAAAAGTGTAATATGCTAATTAGACTGGACGTCCTTCTGGACGACCTTCCGGACGAAGGCTGGGCTGTGAGGGAAGCCGATGCCGGTAGCCAGGGGAAGGAAGGCCTACTCTTGCACAGATTTCGTGCATTGGGCCTCCAGTAATAATAGAAGATACTAACAGCAAGGTAATAGCAAAATAAAAATTGTGGTTCAGATAAATTGTTTTGAACTGCCTTTGATTCATTCCTTTTCTAGAACTTACCACAATATTGAATATTCATCCTTGGTTTATACTACAATGAAATGTTCCATCAAGATCTTTTCTGATTGTAGGTAGTGTGTTAAAATGAGAGTAGAATGGGCCGTATGTGGTGTTTGGAAGGTGGAGATGAGAGGTACACATGATGTCATATAGAATTCATGTTTACTCTAGCAGCTCTGATATTCTTAAGAAATGGATAAATGCCGGGCTACCAATAGTGAAGAATGATTTAATCTTTCATGAATGGGTCACACATGGTATAGATATGAACATTTTAGATATGTTATATATATATGGATGTTCTTGTAGTCCAGTGACATTAAAGTGGAAAATCTGTAGTTAGCAGTGATAGGAGCCGCAGGCAGCAGAGCAGCTCTAAGTCAGTTGCAGTTATTAATAAAGGTAAAGCAAAATAATTGTGCCTATTCCTTTTTCTTATTTAGGGCTTTTCCTCTCAATCTGACATCACTTTATTTCAAATTCATTGTAAGACAGGAAGAACATTGAGATAGTATCAAAACCCACTTCCTTTTATGTTCAAAAATAAAGAGCTCTGACAGCAAAACTGATACTTCTAGTTGAAAATTGATAGAAACTCTCTTGATATAGTTGTACCTTTCAGCCAAATAGGAATGGAGAACAGAACTTTGAAATTCAGCCCAATATTAGAACTAGTTTATTAATTTCCATGTAAAGTGGAAGAACTTAGAAGCTTGTAGTATTTAGTTCTTAATTTTCAGACAGGAAACAATGTTCAGAGAAGAGTTTTATGAAATTCCAAGCCAAGGTAAGGTCGAATGACTCCAGAAAAATGATTAAAATCAACTTTTTCTGTTGCTTTTTTGGTAGGATCATAGCTAAGTAAGTCTATGTCTTTTCCCCAAAATAAAATATAAATACTGCAGCATGAAGCAACTGCAGAAATATTTTTTACCTTGTAAAAGAAACAAGTTTTTCAGATTTTAGTCTGCTTTTAAAGTGTCTTAAGAAAAACATTAAATGTGAAATGTATCTTTTCACCTACAAGAAATTACTGGTTTTTTCTGGGAGCATGACCTAATGTTAATTTTACTGCTTGTCCAGAACTATTTTAAATCAGGAATTTGCTATATATTGTGTTTTTAGTTGAAATACCATAGTCCTCCCTGTCCTCTAACATTTATATATATATGTTAAGTTGCTGAATGGGGATGATTATGTATAGAAATATCTCCTTTAAAAAGGAGACTAGGGAGAAAAACTCCTTTGGGCAAAGTTAACTTATGTGGGGAGAGACCTTTGGGAGAGATGTTCTCTTTCTCTTCTGGGGTGGTTGGTGGCTGAGTTGGGAGGTTTTAGCTCTGTCATGTATTAAAGATGGCTACACTGTTAGGACTTGGATAATTAGGGTACCCAGAAGCAAGGGAAGGTATTCAGGTATGGCCTCTCCATGTTTGATTATGGGACTGTTTGAATATCACGAGGAGCTAGTCTGCCCAGTTTGGAGTGACTACACTTGCTGTGGGAAGAAGGGGCTTAGAACGGTAACAGTCTTCTCCTGGAAATGAAATTCCCCTAAAAAAGACTGTCCTGTAAATACTTTCCCTCTAAATAAGAACTTTCCCTCTAGAGAAGGATTTAACCTTTTTGAAGATTAAAACAATTTTGGAAACTTCACTTGCTATAATTGTTTTAACCATTAATCCTTCATCTATATAAAGCTAAGTTTTAATTTTTATATTACTGCTTCATTATTTCTGATACCATCTAATATTTCAGAGGGGCCCATTGAATGTTTTTAGGAGAAAATAAAATGTCAGTGATTATTTACTAAAGCTTTAAATTCAAATGTATTTAGTATGAATAGTCCATATCCTGTTGATGTTACTCAATATAATAACCATCCATTGAAATGGGAAATTCTCAGTGCTATAATATATCTGAAAAGCAGTATCTTCTGCACATATATTCAGTGAGTGGTACATAAATATTCAACAACCTGAAACTACTTTAGTAAATTATGCAAAACTGGCTTTAATGAGCACCAAGTTTTAAATGTTTTTCTGAAACCACTTTAGTTTTCTCCACTAGGTTGCTCTTTGATTTTTTGGGTAACATTTTTTGTTTTGTTTTTAAATCAAATAAGTAATGGCTGATCTTTTGACTAGAATTTGTTGATCTGTTGTTGTGTCTATATGTTTATATGAAACATTGTTGTTTCTAACCAGATTCTAAATATGTTTTTAAATGAGTGCTTTTAATATGTTGAGCAGTTCACATTGGAGAACCAGTACATTGGAATATAATCTTGAGAAGTATTGTTTAGGTCATTCTTTATTTGCAAAGCTAAAGAAACATCTCTATTTAAACTATTTGCTACATTTAATCTTTTTCCATTATGTACCATTTGCCAGGTATTTGGGAGAACAATTCGAATAAGGTGTGGGTTCCACCCATATCTAGAGGTATAGAAATAAGCAGATAATTAGCAAATACTTAATAAGTAGCAAGTGTTTATGTTTATCATATTAGGACAGAATTAGAAAAGAGAGTAGCTTTACCATGGTTAGTATTATATGAGACATAGAAAGATTTAATATATTCTTCCCTTGAGAGTATAACTTCTCTTGAAGACTAGACATAGGGAAAGAAAATATATGTAAAGGCAAGAAGGTGGAAGTGTGTGTACAGTGTTTTCAAGAAACCATAGGAATAAAAGTTTGGCTGGAAGAGGGGATTTGTGGGGAAAAAAGAAGAGGAAAGAAGTTGGGATCAGACTGTTAATCTTTATTGCTAGTCTCCATTATTTATAGTTTGTAGGTGTACATAAAGTAATTTCTTAGGAAAATTAAGATATGTAGTATGGATCCGAGAATGGCAACACTGCTGACTCAAATTTTCATAGCCACATACTAAGAGGAACAAGATTTTTGTTTATAATGCCTGCCCAGCATGGCTCAGTGGTTGAGCGTCGACCTATGCATCAGGAGGTCATGGTTCTATTGCTGGTCAGGGCACATGCCTGGGTTGCGGGCTTGATTCCTAGTTTGCGGCATGCAGGAAGCAGCCAATCAATGATTCTCTCTCATCATTGATGTTTCCATCTCTCTCTCCCTCTCTCTTTCTCTCTGAAATCAATAAAAGTGTATTTTTTTAAAAAAGGTATTTGTTTATAGGCCTTTTTCTGTTGGTTTTATCCTCTTGTCTTTTCTGTTGGCTTTATCCACTTGTCCAGTTACTATCTGAGTTAATATACTAGCTTTGATTTATTTTTCTACCTAATAGAGTTTATATTAGTTCAGTTTATTTCTAACCATTGGTATATAGGGCAAAAGAATTCTTTTCCATTCTATTCTCTCATACCTCATTTTATTGCGCTTCACTTTATTGCGCTTCACAGATGCTGCGTTTATGTTTTGTTAACCTACATTGCTTCCATTAGAGAAATCCTCAAGTGCCCTCTCAACCTAGTAGCCCTAAAACTGCTGACTTAAGAGATGTGGAAATATCAGTATTAAAGCTGTAGTAGAGTTTTTGAGGTGGAATGGCCTTATTGCCTTTATTTTAAAGATAGGGAAAACTGGGACCTATTCTATCAATCCAGGTTTCTTCCACTATATCATGTTGTTAGATTTACCTTAAGAACATACATACTGTCCAACAGGCTCTAGAATCTTTTCTAAGTTTATCTAATTTGGTGACTAATGGTTTATATTCTGCTTCCTGTTTCTTCAATCAATTCTTTTGAAAAATTAAAGAATGAAAAGGTATGAATACTAACACCCACCCCTTCCCCATCCTATCATCCTTCACTAGAGCTTTCTGAGGAAATAAACTGAAAAGGGAGGCTGTTTGCCGTAGAACTCCAAAAAGAAGATCCTTCCCAAAAGTGTTTGGTCACAGTTCTTAATACAGGTAGCAGAATATGATTGGGGAAGGCATGGTGCTTGATATCAACTCTGATAACAAATTTATCATTGTCATTTTCCTCCTTAGTATCATCTAGACTGTCACAGCCATCCTCTCCCCAGTCAGGTTGCCCATCACCCACAATTCCAGCAGGTAAAGTCATATCTCCATCACAGAAGCACAGCAAGAAGGCACTAAAGCAGGTAATTATGCTAGTCTCTGTTTATCAGAAGTATAATCTCCTACATTAAAAATGCATGACTCTGGCAGCCATTAAAAATTTCTTGAAAGGATATTATGTTCTTTTAAGGAGAAGTTTCATGCAGTTTCCCAATTAGGATTTAATAATGTATGTATCTCTGTGTCATTGGTTTGTGGTATATACTTTTTTTATCACATTTTATGTGTTCCTAATTTGCTAACAGGTTTTTCTTTGTGTATGTGTTCATTTTGAAAATTATGAATAGTTGTTGAATTTTTCAGGTTTTCTTCAGCATTTATCGAGATAATCAGGTAGCCTTTTTCTTTAAATCTAGTAACATACAAAATTCCACAACTAGACTTATTTTTTATTGATTTCAGAGAGGAAGGGAGGAGAGAGAGATAGAAACATCAATGATGAGAATCATTGATCAGCTGTCTCCTGCACGCCCCCTACTGGGGATCAAGCCCGCAACCCTGTCATGTTCCCTTACTGGGAATCCAACTGTGACCTCCTGGTTCATAGGTCGATGTTCAACAACTGAGCAACACCAGCCAAGCTAGGTTTTTTAATGCTAATCCATACTTAGCTCTCTAAAATAAACTGTATGTTTGTTATATATTTTTAAATATGTTATGGAATTTTCTTTTTTAAGATATTAGCTTGGGGAAAATAGATTTTAGTTTGGATTTTGTTGGGAGTTTTTTTTTCTTTGTGCTATCCAGAAACAATTTTGGAATCAAGATTCTTCTAACATCCTAAACTAAATTGTGTAGTCCCCCCAAAATGTATACACACTTCAACAGCTGATAGCTCCATTGATGTTTCTTTCTTTTCAGATTTAACTTATTGGAATTAATAATTATTCAAAGTGTGTATACATTTTTTGGAACACCCTGTATTTTTCTAGGTTTCTGGGGAAATTTTGAGTAATTTATCTTTTTATTGAAAATTCTGTAAATCTCACTTTTTAAAATTGTTTTCCTAGCATTTCAGTTTTAATTATTTTCTTTTACTAGTCTCTTGGTTTTCTGCTGTGGAGCTAAATTTGGAAATTTATTTTTCTTAGAAAGTGATCCATTTCACCTGATTTTTTTCAAATATTGGTATAAAGTTGTACATAGTATTCTTTTTTTTTTTTTTTTTTTAATATATTTTATTGATTTCTTACAGAGAGGAAGGGAGAGGGATAGAGAGTTAGAAACATCGATGAGAGAGAAACATCGACCAGCTGCCTCCTGCACACCTCCCACTAGGGATGTGCCCGCAACCAATGTACATGCCCTTGACCGGAATCGAACCTGGGACCCTTCAGTCCGCAGGCCGATGCTCTATCCACTGAGCCAAACTGGTTTGGCGTGTACATAGTATTCTTATATGTCTCTTTTTTGTTCTTCAGTGTTGTTCATTTATAATGTACTAGAGACCTGGGGCATGACATTCGTGCACTGCGGGGGGGCGGGGGGGGAGGGAGGATTGTCCCTCAACCTGGCCTGCGCTGTCTCGCAGTCCAGAACCTCTTGGGGGATGTCTGCCAAGGCGTCCTTAGCGCTGCTGTGGAGGCAGGAGAGGCTCCCAAAACCACTGCTGCACTCGCCAGCCGTGAGCCTGGCTTCTGGCTGAGCGACGCTCCCCCTGTGGGAGCACACTGACCACTAGGGGAAACTCCTGCATTGAGCATCTGCCCCCGGTGGTCAGTGCATGTCTTAGTGACCGGTCATACCACTGTTCAGTCGATTTGCATTTTAGGGTTTTATTATATAGGATTTTTTTTCGCCCCCTCAATGCTGCTAGCCAATGGTTTGTCTATTTTATTGGGCTTTTCTAAGAACTAGCTTTTGATTTTTTGAAATGCAAATGGTCAGTAAATAGAAAGTCACTAGTAGTTAAGAAAACATAAAAATAGTGGACTACTTTAATTCTCAGATCAGTATAAAAATCTTAATTATATCAAGCATTGGCAAGTGTGTGGGAAAATGCCTACTGTAGTTTGTCAGTAGAATATAAATTATTGTAGTTACTTAGGAGACAGATTTTGTAACATATATTAAAACTTAATTTTTTATTTATTTTATTTTTTAAATATGTTTTTATTGATTTTAGAGAGTAAGGGAGAGGAAGAGAAAGAGAGAGAATCATGGATGAGACAGAGAAACATTGATCAACTGCCTCCTGCATACCCCTACCAGGGATCATGCCCGCAACCTGGGAATGTGCCCTGATCTAGATTTGAACTGGCAATCCCTCGGTGCATAGGAAGATGCTCAACCAACTGAGCCACACCAGCCAGGGTGTATTTATTAAAATTTTAAGTATATACCCCATAACTAAACAGTGGAACATTTTAGAACTAATATTAAGAAAAATACGTACACACACACACATATATATATACACATAAACACACAGAATAATATTTGCATTAAAGTTGCATGCTCTTTTCCACTTAATAAGTCATTTACTTTTTCTTATTACTGAAACGATTGTCTTGTTTCTCACAGTCAGTTTTCTCTTTCTAGGCTCTGAAGCAGCAGCAGCAGCGGAAGCAGCAGCAGCAATGCCGGCCAAGTATGGCCCTCTCCTCCAGTCAGCATCTCTCTCTGAAGGCTGTCAAAGCTGCCAGTGACTCTGTGACTGCCAAATCTGGTAGGTAGATGGGAGTGTCTTTTCAGTGGAAGTTTCTTTATTTTTATTATTTTATTTTATTTCTTAATTGAATTTATTGGGTTGACATTGGTTAATAAAATTATATGGGTTTCAGGGGAACAGTTCTATAATACATCATCTGTATATTGTATTGTGTGTTCACAACCACAAGTAAAGTCTCCTTCCACACCATTTATCCTCCCCATTACCCTCTCTTGCGTCTCCCTATCCCCTTCCCCTCTGATAATCACTGTACTATTGCCTGTCTCTGAGGGGGGTTTTGTTTGTCTGTTCTGTTGTTTTTGCTTAATCTTTTCATCAATGGATGTTTCTTTTTCTGATCGTTTCATGTTGGTTTTCCAATTTGTATACTGTAGCATTTATTTTTAAATTATTATGTTTATTTACATAATTCTTGTACGGCCAAATCATTGACTTACTAGTAATCTTTCCAAGGTAAACAGAAAATTTATGCAAATATTCATGCAGTTATTAAAAAATACATAAGTGGGATTTGTATGTTAGAGTGAGATCTATGAGTAATGTAACTTCCAAGATGTCTTAGTAATATTTGGAAGCTGCTAATCAGTAACCTTAGAAAGCTGATATTTCCAAAAGATGCTCAAACCGAACTCTTCACAAATTACCTCCTTTAAAAAGAAAAGGTTTTGCCCAGCTGGTGTGGCTCAGTAGTTTAGCGTCAACCTATGAACCAGAAGGTCACGGGTTCAATTCCCGGTCAGGGCACATGACTGGGTTGCGGGCTCGATCCCCAGTGTGGAACTTGCAGGAGGCAGCCGATCAGTGATTCTCTCTCTTCATTGATGTTTCTATCTCTCTCTACCTTCCTCTCTGAAATCAATAAAAATATATTTAATTAAAAAAAAATCAAAAGAAACTAAAAATATATGCAGCCTTTGAATTTCCATTGGACAGACCTGAAGGCCTTTAGATTTGTTGTTATCGCTTACTTTGTTTTTAATCTAAACTGGTCTGGATATAGATTTTGTGTTTTTTTATGCAATTCATTTTGATGCCAGTTAATTATATGTGCCTGCCAGATTTAAACTGTGTCTTGCAGAACTTTGCATTTATGTTAAGAAGGAAATTTACCAAAAGCCAATAATGTGCTGAGAGGAAATAAGGGATTTTACCTTTTTTAAAAATATATTTTTTTATTGATTTTTTAAAGAGAGGGAGAAGGATAGAGAGATGGAAACATCAATGAGAGAAGAACATCATCGATCGGCTGCCTCCTGCATGTTCCCCACTGGGGATCGAGCCTGCAACCCTTGCATGTGCCCTGACCGGGAACCGAACCAGCAACCTCTTGGTTCCTGGGTTGACGCTTAACTGCTAAACCACACCAACAGGACAGGATTTTACTTTTTTTCTAGGCTTAATTCTCAGACTCAGAACATATTTGCAAGGTCACCTTACCTCATATATAACTACTTTTAGTTAGTATTGAATGGTTTGTTTGATTAATTGGTTTCTATCTATAACCTTAATGTCACCAGTCTTTTGTATATTTTTCCCTAGCAGTATGGGAAGGAAAGCAATCAGATGGACAGTCAAGCAGCTCCCAGAACTCAAACTCTAGCTTTTCTTCTTCAGTTAAAGTGGAAAACCCTTTGTTAGGCTTGGGGAAGAAGTCATTCCAAAGGTCTGACAGACTCCACACAAGTAAGTTAATTTACAAAGACTTCATGTTTTTATCAACTTATTTTATCAACCCAGTGTCTGAAATTCATCAGCTACCTGGCTTAATTTTACTTCCTGTTCACCTATGAGGTCTTGACCATTTTCATGTCCCTCCTGTCCTTACCAAACTTTATTCAGAATAAGATCTGTTATCAGGCCATTTTTGTGGTTTATTTCTTTTTCTGATCATAAGTTGCTTTGTCTGGCATTATTTACATTTTATTTCTAACCGTACAGAAAAGGCTTATAATTAAACATGGCAAACTGAACATTTTTTTCCTGCTCCCTCTTAATCCCACAAAAATGAGAATATGGAAATACAAAAGGGTGAAGAAAACAAGGAGATAGCCGATGGGTAGGCAATGTCAACAACTTTGAAAGATGAAAACTGGATGGGTATTTCATAGAGCTGAGTAGCAGATGCCAGTAATAAGCAAGCCAGCTAAGGCTGTAGAATACCAGAAAGGTTCCAGAATTGGAGATATAAAGGATCAGGATAGAGAGGGTGAGGCATAGATTTGAAAAGAAGAACCTTCTTTAAGGCCCTGGCCGGGTAGCTTAGTTGGTTAAGAGCATCATCCCAGTACGCCAAGGTTGTGCGTTTGATCTCCGGTCATGTAAAGCAACCAATAAATGCATAAATAAGTGAAATAACAAATCAATGTTTTTTTCTCTCTTTCTAAAAATCAATTAAAAATAAAAAGTTAGTAAGAATCAGTTTGATGCCTCACCCCCCTAGTAGGAGATAGATTTATTTTGAAGTGAAATTAAGTCATATAGATTTCCAATTCAGAGATACTACACATAGCAGAGGGCAGACAATGAGGCAATGTACTGGAGTTCGGGAAATTAAATAAAATACGAATACTGAATAGTGATCCTCTTGTTTGGCTTCCAGAATGCTAGTAGTGAGGCATATTTCTACTACCACTAGTTCCTTACTAACTATGCTCCAGCAGGAGATTGGTGGATTGGTAACTAAAGAAATGGAATAACCTCAGAAAAAAATCTGCAAGCACATTTATAGACTCGCTACTAAACAGAAATCATCTTGGTGTTCTCCCGTCTACAAAACCCAACCCAAAATTTTCAGTCAGCCTTTTTAAGTGCCTGTCTTTTAATTATGCCTACTAAGGATCATCTTTGAAGAAAATCCCATTGTGAGGACAGAATATGAAATATAGACTCAGAAGAAACAAGCGATTGAAGAAGAAAAAAATTTAAAACAATAACCTTTTAAAAAATATTTTTTTACTCATTTCTGAGAGAAAGGGAGAGCGAGAGAGAGATAGAAACATCAATGATGAGAGAGAATTATTGATTGGCTGCCTTCTGCACAACCCACATAGAGGATCGAGCCCCCAACCGGTGCATTTGCCCTAACTGGGAATCCAACTGTGACCTCCTGGTTTATAGGTTGATGTTCAACCACTGAGCATGCTGGCTGGGCCAAATAACTTTTATTTTAAAAAATTTTTAATTGGATTTATTGGGGTGACACATTGGTTAATAAAATTATATAGGTTTCAGGTATACAATTCTATATTTTAAAACTGCAGTATCTATAGGAAGAACTAAAAGATGATATTGTACCCATGAAAGAATAAAATACTATATTAAATATCAGAAAATAGAGTTCTAGGATATTAAATAATGTGGTAGCAGAAATAAAAAACTATGATAGAAATACAAAACGTTAAAGGTGAAGAAATTTCTCAGAGCATAGGTAGGTCTAAGGCGAGTTTCATATGAGGAGGTAAGAAAATTAGAATGCTAATCTGTGCTGTCCAGTGTCTTAAATAATAGGACTATCAGAAATAAAAAATAAATTGAAAGAAAGGTAAATAATCCTATATAATAAAACCCTAATATGCAAATCGATTGAACAGTGGAATGACTGGTCGCTATGAACTGACCACCAGGGGGCAGATGCTCAATGCAGGAGCTGCCCCCTGGTGGTCAGTGCGCTCCCACAGGGGAGCGCCACTCAGCCAGAAGCCGGGCTCACGGCTGGCAAGTGCAACTGGCAAGTGCAGCAGCGGCGGTGGCAGAAGCCTCTGTGACAGCACTAAGGAGCAATGACCCGAGCGGTAGGGAGCAGCAAGTAGGCGGGCGGTAAGGAGCGAGGGGTTCTGGACTGTGAGAGGGATGCCCACCTGCCGGCTTAGGCCTGCTTCCCACAGGGAGCGGGCCTACGCCAGCAGGCGGACATCCCCTGAGGGATCCCAGACTGCAAGAGGGCACAGGCTGGACTGAGAAATCTCCCAACCCCCAGTGCACAAATTTCATGTACCAGGCCTCTAGTAAGAGATAAAATACAAGAAAATTCGATAGACTTGAAAGCCACAGATTTCAGACTGAAAGTACATAATTGGTGTCAAGAAATAAGAATAAAAGGAAACCTATTCCAAGTCACATTCTTTTGAAATTTCAAAACATCCAGGACATGAGAGATTTGCAAAAAACCTCCAGAGAGAAAAAAATAATTCATTTATAAAAATTCAAGAATTGGCCCTGACCGGTTTGGCTCAGTGGATAGAGCGTCGGCCTGCAGACTGAAGGGTCCCGGGTTCGATTCCGGTCAAGGGCATGTTCCTGGGTTGCGGGCACATCCCCAGTAGGGGGCGTGCAGAGGCAGCTGATCGATGTTTCTCTCTCATCGATGTTTCTAGCTCTCTATCCCTCTCCCTTCCTCTCTGTAGAAAGAATCAATAAAATATATTTAAAAAAATTCAATAATTGGAATGGCAGACATCTCTGAAGCAACATAAAAGCTAAAAGATTGTATAGAAATGCTGACAAAATTGTAAAGAAAAGCTATTCCACACTCATTTATATATTCCAGACCTTTCCAAACTATTACGTTTGAGAATAGAATTTCAGACAACTTTTTTTTTTCCAGACAACTTCTTTATAAAAATATGATTTGATTCCAGGTATGGTAGTGAATTGGTATATTTTTCTTAGAGATAGTATCTGCCATAAACTGAATATGCCCTTTGATCATTAATTCCATTGCCAGAGATTAAAAATACTCATTACACAAATACTTGCAGAAGGTATACTAATATGCCAAGCACAGGTTTAGGGCCCTAGAGACGTGACAATGAATAGAACAAAATTTCTTCCTTTGGGGGCCTATCTTCAATTAAAGTCACAATTGTAGTGCCTGGTGCGTAGGAGGCCCTATATAAGTGTTTACTGTTGCTGTTATTTATCATTATTTTTGTTATTACTACTAATATTATCTTAAATTTACTGAGATGTGCCCTGGCCGTTGTGGCTCAGTTGGTTGGAGCATTGACTCATATACTGAAAGGTTGTGGATTCCCTTCTGAGTCAGGGCATATACCTAGGTTTTGGGTTCATATATGGAAGGCAGCCAATCGATATTCTGTCTCATATTCGTATTTCTCTCTTTTTCTCCTCCCATCCCCCTCTAAAATTAATAAGCATATCCTTGGGTGAGGATTAAAGAAAAATTATTCAGACCGTTTTTGGAATAAATACTATAAGTATAGAATTCTGTGTTTATTGGATCAAGCCTGTCAATCTGAAAAATAGCTCAGCTTCCCCCCTCCCCCCATCCTGTCTTTTTGGGGCTTCTTTTAGTATGCTTGATTTATTAATAATTGAGAGAGATGTGTTGAAATCTTACTGGTGGCTTTGTCCAGTTCTCCCTGTTGTTCTATCATTTTTTATGTCACATATTTTAAAATATATTAGATATTTTCATGTTTAAAATCCTCCTGATGGATTGAACCCTTTATCATTATCACTGTTTATTTACTTTATCAGTCGCTGATTAGGTTTTTTACTTAATGTATCATAAAGGATACACCAGCTTTCCTTTGATTAGTTTTTTCCCCTGATATATCTTTACTTTGTTCATTTCTGTGTGTCTTTGTGTTTTAGGTATGTCTCTTTGCAGAGCATATAGCTAGCTGAATTTTTAAAATTTGTAAATCAATATGACAATCTCATTTATTCAGTGAGATTTATCCATTTACACTTATTGTAATTGCTAATCTATTTGGACTAGTTTCTGCAGTCTTGTTTATTTGTTGATTTTTGTCTTCTGTTTTTCTTTTTCAAAAAATATTTTTATTGATTTCAGAGAGGAAGGGAGAGGGGGAGAGATAGAAATATCAATGATGAGAATGATTGATCGGCTGCCTCCTGCACGCCCCCTACTGGGGATTGAGCCTGCAATCCAGGCACATACCCTTGACCAGAATCAAACCTGGGACCCTTTAGTCCTCAGGCTGACGCTCTATCCACTGAGCCAAACCAGCTCGGGCTTGTAATGAGAACATTTAAGATCTACTCTTAAAAGTAATCATCTTGATTTTCCTCCAAAACAGAAGAGCTTTATAACAATTTAGCACTGATATTTTATATCTGGACTTAAATAATATTGTCTGACATTTCTCTTCTTAATCTCGCAAATCAGACACTAGACTACTATTTTTTTATACAACAATGTTGATGTACATTTATCTAAATGTTTACCTGTTTTCATTGTATTCCAGCCCATCTCTCTGTAATAACCATCCTTCCTGTAATTTCATCAATTTTGATAAATGTACTGTCAATTCTTTAAATATTGCTTTTTACTCTTAATTTTCTCCTTGTCTTCAATCAAGCATTTATTAGATCTCATTCGATCATTCATTCATTCTATCATGTTTCTGCTAAAGCTCTCAAAATATTTCATCTTTCTTATATTCTGGGTAAATTGTTTGGCTGTATATAGGTTATAGCCCCCCCACCCCCTAAACAGTGTCTAAACTGCTCTTTAATATAGTCATAGTATCTGATTTCAACAGTTTTTATTCTAATTTGTGGAAGTCCTGTTTATTTTTTCAAATCTTTGCGTTCACTACTAATTATCCTCATCTTTACAATGACATCTTTTAGATGTTAAATTGTTTTATACATAGCTATCCTGTATTCTATACACTGATGGCCAGATTATTATGACCACCTGTCGTTTGTAGGCAAATTAGCTATAATTTCATGCTGAAGTTGCTAGAGGGCCATACCATTATAAATATGGAAGCAGGTTGTTTACCAAGACAGTAGAAGTGATTTTTTTTTAAGATATGGGTAAACAACTCGATTTAACAGCCTTTGAACGTGGAATATACACTATATAGATTTGAATTTTTCTATTTTTTAAATCAAATTTTGTATATGTGTTATTTATTATAAACTTCCTCAATTCTATTGGGGAAATAACCAATTCTCAAACATACATAAAATATACTTTTAGTATAGCAAAAGGTTCAATTTTATAGACCTTGTTCTATTTTTGCAGACAAGATAAATTATATTTTTTTATCCTTTATGAATGAACAAAACTTGCTTTGTTAGTCTTAGAAGCACTATTTCTAAGAACCTAAGTGTTACCTTCTTCATAGTGTGACATTTAAAATACTTACAATTATAGATGTGTTTGTTTGTTTGTTTATTTACAGAACATGCTGTAGTTTAGATAGAAACAGGAATTTGAAGGAGGCCCAAATGATTCTTTTTCATATTTTTGTAGGGCAAATGAAAAGGACGAAATGTGCTGAGATTGATGTTGAGACACCAGACTCCATTCTGGTTAATACAAATCTTCGAGCACTGATCAACAAACACACTTTTTCAGTCCTTCCTGGAGATTGCCAACAGCGACTGCTTTTGCTTCTTCCAGAGGTGGATCGACAGGTGCGTGATTTCAAGCAGAAGCAATTTTATAACCATTCTAAAGCTTCCTTCACTCATCCCCTTTTGAAATCCTGAAATCTTTTAAAATAGCTTTTTATTTATACCTATAAAGAAGTGTTATCAAAGGTACTAAACAAAAAAATAAGAATATTTTTAGCCACTATGAGGGCATATTGGCACCTCTGCACCTCAGTGGGTATTTGAGCAATTTTGGAAGGCAATTTTAATTTATAATCTTGACATTTTGACAAGAGTTTGTTTGTTTGTTTTTTTCTTTACAAGCTCACTCCCCAGGATGTCCAAGTAGTTACTTAAATTTTCTTCAAAAAATTCTTTTTTACTTCCAACTAACATTTAGGTTTTTAATTCATCTAGAATTATTTTTGTATTGCCCCGAAATTGGGATTCAACTTTATTTCCTACTGAATAGATAACCAGTTGTTCCAAAACTACATACTTGTATAACCGTCTTTTTCTTACAGTTTGAAATACCATTTGTGTTATATGTTCTATATATTTACATGTGGTATGTATTTTACAGGTGCAATTGAAAAGGCAATTTCCCCCCTTCTCAATTTTGTTATTTTTTTTCCATATGAATATTAAGGTCATTTTATTAATAAGAAAATCTTTATTGGGATTCTAATAGGAATGTAGATAGTAACTTTGAGGAGAATGGCAGTTTTAGTAAGTTTTTCCATCCAGGTTTTTTCAGATATTGTGTTTTATGCCCTTAAATGAGATTTTGTGCTTTTAAACCAGGACAGGAAATAAGAAATCTGTAATATAAAGAAGAATCTTAAAACCTTTAGCAAGACATCATGACATCACAAATCAAGTCAATAGACAGATTGGGTGAAATATTTTTGACATGACAGTTTTACTATGAATAGTAAAGGATTCTCACAAGTTGATAATAAAAATAAGCAGCTGCATAGAAAAATGAGCAAATTATAGGAATTGGCATATTATGAGATGGCAAATAAAAATATTCAGTGAAAGTACAAAAAGATGCACAACACTCTAGTAGACAGGATATAGGAAATTTTTACCATTTCAAACCCATTAGGTTGACAAAAATTAAATAGCATCTTCACATCTATTATTTACAGGTTAAAAGGTATGCTCATATTTTTAGTAGAAATATGAATTGTTTTAGCCTTTTTAGAAAATAATATGTAGTAACTCATAAATATTTCTTTGCTCTCAGAACCTCTCCCACAGAAATAAAAGCACTAGTATATTCATCTTTACCAGAATGCATATTGCAGCTTTGTTGATTATGGGAAAACATGGGAAACAAAGTATATGTATATGCATAGGAAATTGGTAAATGAATTGAGGTACATTATAAATGAAATAATATGCAGGTATTACAAAGTTTCTAAAACTGTATCCGTGGACTTGTAAAGACTTCCACAATGTATTCTTGAACCAAGTGAGATTCAGAGCAGTGTATAAAACTTTGTCACAGTTTTATAAAAAAAATAATAAACCTCTCAGAAGAAAAACTCTTATGTTTTTATTTGTTTGCAGATGTTTTTTCTTTTTAGTATAATTACTCAATGGGGAATGGAATGAAAGGAGAGGAAGAAGGGAAAAGAGGTAAAAAGGAAAGAAGTTTTTTAGAAAACAAGATTATAACAGGGTGTGTCCATAATAAGCAGCATAGTATGATATAGTCATGTTTCTATAAAAGTGAATGTACATACATTCTTTTCTAAAAAGAAAAAGCCATATTCCACCTGAAACGTTTGGCTTTCTTTGTAAGCTTTCCTTGGCTTACTCTTTGACCCAGGTTGGTCCAGATGGTCTGATGAAGCTAAATGGTTCAGCCCTTAACAATGAGTTCTTCACTTCAGCAGCCCAAGGCTGGAAGGAAAGACTCTCAGAAGGTAAGTGCTCCACCTTGTCTCCTAGCATGTGTATGCACTTCGAGCCACTATGAGGGCATATTGGCACCTCTGCACCTCAGTGGGTATTTGAGCAATTTTGGAAGGCAAAGGACAGGGTATTTCCATAGGGTTAAGCTAGCTATCTTGTGTGAAATACACTGCTAGACCTGTATCAAGAACCTACGTATCCAGGTTTGGCTCCACATGGAGTTCAACAATATGTTTCTTTTAAGGGTTTAAAGTCACATGGGAAACTAAAGAGTACATATGTTTAGTCCCTATTCCCAAACATTCTGATTCAGTAATTCTAGGTGAATTCCTAGGAATTAAAATTCTAATAAGCTCCCTAAAAGTAGAGTATAGAATTAGAGTTATTTTATGATGGTATGAGTTATGGTTTGGTAAGCAGTGAGATAACTTCTTTATTACTGCCCAAACTCAATAACACTAACAGTGAAAAGAATCAGTAAGAACTTCTTAAAAAACAGCTTTATTGAAAAATGTTTACATACTGTAAAACTTACCATTAGAAGTATACAGTTTAGTGGCAGTCAGAGCGTTTTAATAAATATAGATTATGACTTAGAATTGCTGACTGTGGTCACTGGTTTACCATGTGTGCCTTGCTTTTAATTCTGATCTAACAAAGTTACTGAGAGTAAATTATAAAGTATAAAAGAGCGATTGATTTATTGCATTTGGACAGCACACAGTATCAGTCATATTAGCGGTTCTTAACCTTGGCTGCTTATTATCTCTCTCTCTCTCTCTCAGATCACTAAAAACATTTTTAAAAAGTTGGTTGGTTGGAAAGCTAATTAAACTTTCAACTTGCTCAAATAGAATTACAAAAAGGCAAAATTGTGTTTTTCACAGAGATACAGTCCACTGGAATCAACAACACTGGACAGCTGTTAGAATATTTAGAGTCCTGAGATAATAAGAACCCCCGGCATCCTTTAGGACAGTCCTCTGTTGTCCTTTCTTCCCAATCAGATCAGTGGATGTGTGGAATGACACCACCACCAGCAGTTGTAGCCTTGATGAGAGAGTCCAATTCTTCATCTCCATGAATAGCAAGCTGCAAATGATGAGGGGCAATACACTATTAAGTCTTTTGATGCGTTTCTTGCCAATTCAAGTACCTCTGCATTGAGGTACTCCAGAATGGCTGTGTTGTACACAGCAGCAGTTGCACCCACACGTCCATGACTGGTCATCCTAGATTTCAGGTATCGATGAATACAGCTCACCGGAAACTGCAAGACGGCTGTCTGCAAGCTGAAAACCACCTTTGTCTTGGCCTTTCTGGAGTCTTTCCCAGTATTACTGCTAGCTATTTCAAATTCTGCTGAACTCAAACAAGCAAAGCACAGAAAGGACTAGTAAGACACCCAGTGAGATTCTACTGCCTACTCCATCGCAACTCAATTCACCTCATTTGCCCATTTTTAAAATGGGATTTTTTTATGTTGATTTGTATACTAGTAAGTTCTTTATAAATGTTGGATATTAACACTTTATCAGTGGGTTGTCTTTTTTATTTTGTTGATAGTTTCCTTTGCCGTGCAAAAACTTTTTAGTATGATGTAGTCCCATTTGTTTATTTTTTCATTTGTTTCCCTTGCTCAGGGAGATATATCAGAAAAAATATTGCTACATGAAATGTCTGAAATTTTACTGCCTATGTTTTTTTCTAGAATTTTTATAGTTTTAAGTTTTACATTTAAGTCTTTAAGCCATTTTGAGTTTATTTTTGTGTATGGTGTGAGAAAGTGGTAAGGTTGCATTATTATGCACATATCTGTCCAATTTTCCCAACACCATTTATTGAATAGACTATCTTTATGTCTCAGTGCAGGTATCATGGCAGCTGTCCCTTCACCTCTCTCCCTAGAGCCACAAAGCTCATTCTCTCCTCATGTGCCTGTAGTCTGTTCCACTTTCCCCCGAGGCCTGAGCCCAGGGTGATGATTACAAATGAGATTTTGTGCATTGGCCCTTTAAGAGCACACCTGTGTCTCTAGCAGACACTATCTCTCTCCCTGGTGGACAGAATACCCACTGATTTTCACAGCCAGATGTTATGTGGGCACCTCTTCCTGGCTCTGTGTTCTTTGGGCCGGGGAGCCTGGCTTGGGGTTGAGACCTCATA